CGCCGTTTCCCCCTGCGCTGCTCCTTTCCTCTCCGATTGGCTCTCAATGGCTACCAAAGAAGATGGACGCGGCGTATCGACTTTACAGGAGGCTATCTTGACGTTGGATCAACACTCCTCGGCGCTATCAACGATTGCGGTGGCTGTGGCAGCGCTGTCTTGCGAGGTGTCGGGGGTCGACTTGGAGGCCTTTGATTTGTCAGATTCTGGTGATGGGAGTTTGGCAAAGGAGGACATTGGAGTTGCCGCTGACATCAAGGCCATGGTTAATGGCTCCAAGTTGGTTGGTTCTAAAGGTAAGAGCAAACCCGCGCTTGGATCCATTTCAGAGATCCCTGAAATTATTGGGAATTTTCGGGAGGCTGTAAAGAACTTGCATTCTGTTACTCGGTTGGTGTTGAATTCCCGGAAAAAGGTTGCTGGAAAGGCGTTACTTTTAGAGTTTGAGCTTCGGAGCTTGGGGGAGAGTAGCTGGAATAGAGCGAGGTTGAATTTGAGCTCTGCTGGCATTGATGGTTTGAAGAGTTTGTTCGATAAAGACTGCCCGAATGGGGAGAGTTTAACAAACGGGGAGAGTTCAACAAATTCAAATAAGGATTGCGAGAGATTGCTGGGTGAGGTGAATGAAGTGTTGAAAACAGTGTGGAAAATAGTAGCATGGGAAGCAGTGACCGCCTTCGTTGTGCTAGAGGGTGGGGAATTGTTGAATGAGAAGGGTGGGCAAGTAGCTGAGTCTGATGGGGGAGACTTAAAATCGGAGAAGAAAAAGAAGAAGAAGAAGGTGGTGTTGGGGAAAGGGACAAGTGTTATTGTGGAATTGATAAAAGATTGGTTGATGGCTAAGAGAGCAGGTGCTGGTGATAATTCTGGGTTTTTGGAGAGATTGGCTGAGGATCTTTCATTATTGTTGGATCCAAAATGCTTAGAGTTTAATACACTATTGCAGAAGGTTAAGGAGGTTCTGGGGAGCAATGAAAGTAGACGAATGCCTAAGACTCCAAAGGTAAGCAGTTTAATGTTTGATATGTTCTGTACTCAAAATTTGAATCCCTTCTTTTCTGTTTATGAAACCCAATTTAGTTTGTATGTTCTATTAACATTTTATTGGTTTACTTTCCTCTTTCACCATAGGGTTATGATTCTATGCTTTTCTTCTTAATAATGCCTGTGACATTCTCATATTTTGCACATCACTGTGTGTGTTAGGGTACCCGTGATTTCGCAAAGGAGCAGATGGTAATAAGAAAGAAAGCATTTTCAACTATTACAAACATTTTTGAGAGGCATTGTGCCACTGCCCTGGATACACCTGCTTTTGAATTGAGGGAGACTCTTATGGGAAAGTATGGGGAGGATTCAAAATTGGTTTATGATCTTGCTGATCAGGTTAGTACATGATGATTAGTTGTTTCAGCTGAAGTCCATTTTGCTTTTTTTGTCCTTCATTTCTGTTTAATTTGGTTGGATTTTTTATGTTTTACTTCAAAATTATGTTGATTATTACACTATCTCCTTCTAATGAGTTAGCTCTTCTTTTTTTTTCTTTTTATAGTTTAGTTGCTTGTAATAATATCTTTCTCACACTCTTTTTACAGGGTGGGGAGCTTTGTTGCCTACGTTATGACTTAACCGTTCCATTTGCCAGATATGTGGCTATGAATGGTCTCACTTCATTTAAAAGATACCATATAGATAAGGTGTGGAGAAGGGATAATCCATCTAAAGGGCGGTATCGAGAATTTTATCAATGTGACTTTGATATTGCTGGCCAGTTTGAAAAGATGGGGCCAGATTTTGAGGTCGTTAGAGCTTTGATTGAAGTACTTGATGCACTAAACATTGGAGACTATGAGGTAATTCTTGGTGAACATGTTTACACTTTAGCTTACTTGATGCAGTTTATGTGTTACCCTTTGTCCTGTTGGGTGTTATTGTTTGCCTTGAGATGTAGTTATGCACATACACCTGTACCTGTTATCATACCTGATTTGAAACATTTAGGATATGCTAAGTTGCTAACATTTCAAAAGGAATATGCAGTGGGACTGTGGGAGTTTTGTATTTCCTGCTTGATTTTGCCACCAGGGAGAGTGTCTTAGGCATAGTTATGCATGTGCTCTTGTATTGGGGATCAATGCTGCAATTCTACTGTTGGTATTTTTTAATGCAAACTTTGAATATTATTACTTCATTTGAGGTAGAGAATTTTTTTTTTTTTTTTAATTCTCACTGACCATTCATAGCATACTGTGTATTGATTTTAGCATTAGTTTTTATATGTTAAGTACCATATTATTGTTCATATACTTCTAGAAGTGCTTCTTAAAGTAGTTAATTGCCTTTTACTTGTGTTGACAGATAAAATTGAATCATCGGAAGTTGCTGGATGGAGTGCTGGAAATTTGTGGGGTGCCACCAGAAAAATTTAGAACTATATGTTCAAGCATTGACAAGTTAGATAAGCAATCATTTGAGCAGGTTAAGAAGGAAATGGTGAGTGCTTAACATCCTTGTATATACCCTTCTTGTCTGAGAAATTCCTTCTAACCTTTTGGGGTTTGGTGTCTGTAAACTAGTTCCTTCATTGGTTCAATTTCAAATAATGCTTGTATTCCCATTCATCGAGCTGATACTTTAAGCATGCTTTATTGGCCTCTATAAACCCATTGAAACAATGAACACCTCTAATTGTGGAGGGAACTCCATTTAAGCACATCTTAAATGTTTCACTTGCAAAGGAAGCAACATGTTATCAATTTTCTACTACCTCCGTTGGCAGCACTTTTATATAATTTTTATATTTAAACTCCCTTTGTATGTGCTTGTAACTACAGGTGAAGTCCTCTTAATACTATTTTTTTCTTCATAATTTTTATGTTCCATAGAAATTTATGTTCAATCTAATAATTAAGTTATGGTTTACCTTTTTCTTGAAATTTTACTGAAGCAATAGAATATACAATTTTAATTTAATTTTCTTTTGCATCTTATATGTTGTTTTTGTTCTATATACATGTTTCTATATTTTGGTTCTGGTTGCATGTTTTAGTGGAAAATTTGTCTAATTTCTCTTCACTTGGTGCTAATCTAATCAGTATCAACTATAACTCTTTTGTTGTCGTGTTTGTTTAATTATTTGTTGTCTTTTCTCAAAGTCTTAAAATAATGATTGAATTTGCTTTAAGATATTTCTCAAATTAATATTTGATAGGTTGAACAAAAGGGTTTATCTGTTGAGACAGCAGACAAAATCGGTACTTTTGTGAAGATAAGGGGACCTCCTTTGGAATTATTGTCTAAACTTATGAAAGAGGAAGGAAATGAGGCTAATGAACTTCTTAAACATGAGGCATCTAAAGAAGCTTTGAGTGACTTGATGATTCTATTTGAAGCATTGGAGAAGTCAAGGTGCATAAACAAAGTGGTTTTTGACTTGAGTCTTGCCAGAGGTCTTGATTATTATACGGGAGTTATATTTGAAGCTGTTTTCAAAGGAGGGGTGCAGGTAAATATTTCTTATTGGCTATGGTTTAGTAAAAGCGATTTGTGCATTTTTATTGGTATATAAATGTTGGATACTGTCCTCCATTCAGCCTTTCTGTTTTAAAGATCTTTTGGGTGCATTTAGCAACTTGGTGATTGAATTTTGAAAGATTTCTGTAAACATGTTTGGCATTTGGTGATTTTACCACTGCTTTATTTGGAGCATGAAATTATCCCTAGGGAACTTAGACTCAGTTTGAGTTTACCCAAGCAAGTTACATGACTTGCAGCTCAATAGTGTTCAATAATGTGATACCGGGAGGTATCCTAGAGTGATGCTTTCCTTGTATGTTGTTCTTGCTATTTAATTCTAGATATTAGCTAAATGGTATGGAAAAAAAATCTTTTTTTTTTTGGCCAACATATTGAAACTGAAAAATCAAAGCACGCCATTTGATTCTTCACATTCTTCATCTTTAAGTATGCTAGCAGAGTCAGATGTTTCAATGAAGGGCCAAAAAGAAAAAATGGATTTTCAATGCATCGGGTATTTTGCTGATTAACCATTCCGTTCTTTGATTATAATTAACTTGTTTATGGATGCAGGTGGGTTCAATTGGTGCTGGTGGACGATATGACAATCTGATAGGAATTTTTGGTAACAAGCAGGTTCCAGCAGTTGGAATGAGTCTTGGAATTGAGCGAGTATTGACTATAATGGAAGAGAAAGTGCAGAAAGATAAGAACCAGGTGACTAAAACACACTTGCAAACTTGTAGAAAGTTCTCACACGTACAAAATGCAAACTCATACTTCATACATATTGTAAAACTCATATTTCATACTTACTGTAATTTGCCAGATATTGTAAAACTCATGTTTCATACTTATTTCATAATTCTAAAACTCATATTTCACACTTAATTGTAATTTATATTTTTAATATGTTTATAATTGTGTTGCAGAATTTTAGACTCGCATCTTCTTTTTATTCCTATTCTTCCTTTCAGAATCTCTGTTCTGTTTCAAGAATTGCATTATAGTTGGTTTTAATATGTAGTTTTCTGTAGTTGATAAAAAAAAAAATTATGTGGTTTTCTGTATCATCATATGACATTCATTCCAGAAACAAAAATTGTAGTCATGAATGGTTGTCTGCCCTTGGCAAAGATTAGTTTCTAGTTTTTGCTGCTAGCAACTTGCATATTGTGCAAGGTACTGATGTTTTCTGCGAGGTACTAACGTTTTGGTGCTTGTTTCTCTTGGTTTTCTTGCAGACATTCCAACTCTCAGAAACTCAAGTGCTTGTTGGCGTCCTTGAGAATCAGCTGGGTATAGCGGCAGAGCTAGTTAGCGAGCTGTGGGATGCAAACATCAAAGCAGAATTCAAGATACATAAAAAAGTGATGAAGCTGATAGACCATGCTTCAAGCTTAAATATCCCTTGGATGGTACTCGTTGGTGAAAGAGAGCTGAATGAAGGGATTGTAAAATTGAAGAACATTGCTAACAAAGACGAGGAGGTAATCCCTAGAGGTAAAATTGTTGAGGAACTACAGGCAAGATTGAACCCATGAAATACTATTTAGCTGATTTACTTACGATTGTTCATTATTCTATTTTAACAAATAAATACGTTCCCGATAATTTTATTCAGAAGATTAGTGTAAAAGCTGAATATAAAGTTGATCCATCATTTGGAATGATAGTTTTGGTTTTCTCGTGTGATCTGTAATACGGTTCTAAGTGGATATCAGCTCTGCGTTTCTTTTTGTTTATTTCCTTTTGTTTTGGGAAAATGGTCAAAA